CTGGAGATTCCCTACGGGTATAGTTAACCACACTGTGTGTGTGTGTGTGTGTGTGTGTGTGTGTGTGTGTGTGTGTGTGTGTGTTTTCTCTATAGGGGTTGTGTAGCATGTACAGTGATATATAATCAGTCCAGAGGGTCCAGTGGTCTCTTTGTGGGAGTCTGGATATCTGCGTTCCCCATTTCCTCTCCTCCTCCACAGAAACCTCCCATAGTTCTCCTCTGACAAACGCCCGCAGGCTCCTCTACAGCAGAAATGTGTTCTCGGTACGTGACAGACTGATGTTTCAGACCGCTCAGCATTCTTCTGACTCTTCACAGTCATGACATGAACAAACACAACACATGTGCTGTAAACTGCTGCGTTCCCATGATGGAGAAATACAACAACAGATCTGCAAAAACATCCAGGGGGTTGAATTTAGTAGGCTACCCGAGATGGGAGAGAGACAGAGATAATCAATAAAAGAACTTCATTACAGAACTTCAACAAAAGAATCAAATTGCTGACAACTGCTGGACAGCCATATGAGTTTCATATAACACGTGAGCAAGCTAAAAACAAAAACAAAACTACTATATATTATTTATTAATATATTTAATAAATATTAATATATTAAATACATTAAATCTATAATAATACATGTTTGCAAATCTGATTATATTAAATACAATAAATATAATTATTATTTACTTATCTATTTAATAACAATTACATACTATTTTAAAGTACACTACTATTATTATATTTTTGCATATTATATTTTCTGCATCAGAGTCATAAGAAAATTGGTACACACTTTTATTTATTTATTTATTTTGAGGTGAAATGGCCAGGATATGTTCTTGACAGGTTTATGAGGTAAGCACTGTATGATCTACTTTCAAAGCTCTGTCGGGCTTCAGCCCCTCGGTGACGTCCCCCGGAGGGCGTTACATAATGTTGTGAATGATCCGAGGCTGAGCAGATGGAGTTTGGCCATCATCGGGTACAGCACACACAGCTGGCGCTTCTGCACTCGCTGCTGCTGCTGCTGCTGCTGCTGCCCATGAAAAGAGGCGTTTCACACGCGTCAGCGGACTCAACGGTGTGGATCTCACACTGACTTTGTGTTTTCCCTTTTCCACAGCATTTCCTCCTGGAGGCTGGCGCTTCTTTTCCAGACTTTGGACTTTATTTGCATGGGACGCTGTGATTTTAGTTTCCAGTCCGTTTGTCTGTTTGGAGTTGAAACATGAGCGCGAGTGGAAACGCGATGGCGATGTTCGGGTTGCGTTTAGCGGAGGATCAGATTAAAGTTCTGGAGCAGAATTTCACGAAGGTCAGCAAACATCCCGACTACGCCACACTGATGCTGATCGCAGCGGAGTGTGGGCTGAGCGAAGAGGAGACAGCGGTGAGATCTATCTATCTATCTATCTATCTATCTATCTATCTATCTATCTATCTATCTATCTATCTATCTATCTATCTATTTTAATAGGCTGATTAGTTTTAATCATTACTCATTACGCATTACTCTATTTTTAATAATGTCAGAACCTGCCTGTTTTTTTTTATAGGCTATATATATTTTAATGTAGGCATAATTGTTTTAATACAAACATAATCATAATTAAAAGTATATATATATTTTAAAGGGGTCATATGATGTTGCTAAAAAGAACATTATTTTGTGTATTTGGTTTAATGCAATGTGTTTATGCGGTTTAAAGTTAAAAAAACATAATTTTCCACATACTGTACATTATTGTTATCTATCTATCTATCTATCTATCTATCTATTTTAATAGGCTGATTAGTTTTAATCATTACTCATTACGCATTACTCTATTTTTAATAATGTCAGAACCTGCCTGTTTTTTTTTATAGGCTATATATATTTTAATGTAGGCATAATTGTTTTAATACAAACATAATCATAATTAAAAGTATATATATATTTTAAAGGGGTCATATGATGTTGCTAAAAAGAACATTATTTTGTGTATTTGGTTTAATGCAATGTGTTTATGCGGTTTAAAGTTAAAAAAACATAATTTTCCACATACTGTACATTATTGTTTCTCCTCTATGCCCCGCCTTTCTGAAATGCATCGATTTTTACAAAGCTCATCGGTCTGAAAAGCGAGGTGTGCTGTGATTGGCCAGCTATCCAGTGCGTTGTGATTGGCCGAATACCTCAAGCGTGTGACTGAAATGTTACGCCCCTCACATACTGTGATGCCGTGTCCCGGCCGGAGCGATGAGACAAAAACATTAAAACCCATTATAAACGAGGCATTTGTTGCATCCAGTGGGGACATAATTACGGATTATAATGAGTTATACTGTCTTTTTACGCGTTGCGTTGCATTGCATCGCGCCGCGTAAACATAAAACTCTGTCTGCATTTGTGATCGGAGAAATGACAAACAACAAGTGCTACTCTACACTGCTCAAAACTCACGTTTGAATCATCAGTGGCAGATCCTTTAAATGAAAACGTGCTTACAGTCTGTGAGTCAGAACTGCCGGCATTGTAGTCTAACGTTACTCTCCCAGGATCAGTAAACAGTCCTCCATAAAATGTGCTGCACACATCTGGATATTTGGGTTAAACTGTTCTGGAACAGTGTTTTGTGAATACAACTTAACCACTGATTTGTTGTCGTGTCCTCTTTTGGAAGACCAAACAAAGTAGTTTCGCTTTTACAACAAAAAACACAGCGGCCTAGCGTGAGGTGAAGCCCCCCTCTTAGCATGTGCTGAGGCCGGGATAGAGTGAGCTGAGGCCGGGCTAGCGTGAACCGAAGCCCCGGGATAGAGTGAGCTGAGGCCGGGCTAGCGTGAACCGAAGCTAGGGATAGAGTGAGCTGAGGCCGGGCTAGCGTGAGCCGAAGCCCCGGGATAGAGGGAGCTGAGGCCGGGCTAGCGTGAACCGAAGCCCCGGGATAGAGTGAGCTGAGGCGGCGGGGTCGAGAACGGCACGCCCGGCGGATGCGACGAATGAGCGGCAACCACATGTGACGGACCCCGGGCTGGACTCTGCTTTGTCCACGGTAAAAGTTGATGTATTCCCTCAGCGACCAGCACAGATCAGCTCTAGGCATGACAAAGCGGATATCGTCCTCTTTTGGAAGACCAAACAAAGTAGTTTCGCTTTCACAACGAAGCACACAGTGTCTTCAGGATATGGCGGCAGCAGCAACATTACTACAGCGAGAATAAAAGTTACGCCTTCTTTCTTTGTGTGAACATTTGGGCGGCGTTATGCAAATCTTCCCACATAGTGAGGTAGATATGTGGGGGCGTGTTAGAACCAGCCGTTTTAGGTAGGTGTGGCTGACTTAAAGAATTTATAAAGAATATCTCTTTGGATTTGAGACTTTAGTCTTTGCAACTTTACAGATCTTCTTTATGCACCAGGAGCTTGTAACACTCCAAAGAGAAAGGAAAAATTGAAATCGCATCATATGACCCCTTTAAATAATAAGAATAATAATGTAAAACGCACTTTTAAAAAAATAACATTTAGGCTACCATGGTATTGAACTGCAACATCCCTGCTGAGAGTGAACGTTCTCAGAACTTTGGCTAACGTTCTGACAAGGTTATTTCGAAGTTAGGAACACGTTTTTCTATTAAAGTTATTTAATAACGTTATCAAAACGTTTGCACAAAAACATTATTTATACATCGTTCATGGTTTTCTGAAACATTTTCGACATCAGTCTGTTTTATTTAAACCTTACAACCTAGTTTCACATGGTTTAGAGAACATTTAAAGTAACGTTTCCATACTGTCTGCAAAACAATTTACTAATTAATTAATTTACAACAATAAATTAAGACTTTACTTATACAGATTGAGTCCCTCTGGAGGTTAAAACTCTTAATTGCACAATGAAAGTTCATGGATCAACCCTTCCAGGGTGTGAACTTACAACTTTTTAGTGAACACATGAGATCTTTAGCCAAGCCACATTACCCATGATGCAAGCTCCTCTCATGCATTGTCTTCATTCCTGTTTTGCTGTCACCAGCTCAAAATAACACACTGACAGCATTAAAAGCCAAAGGCATGTGAATGGAGAGCTGACACTGACCATAAACGAAGTGTTGGAGCACAATAGGCGACCCGGAGCGCGTCCGGATGCACCTTCCCTCTTACACATACAGTTGACATGTTCAAACGCATTGTGTCTGATTTCTAAACACACTCTTTCAAAGGAAAAGCCCACACAGGAGTATTGATGTAATGGAGCAGTTAGTAATGCTGTGATGCATCTACTTACAGTTTAATAGATACTGCAGAGCTTGTGAGCAATACTGACAGTGCTGACAGCGTGAAGTTTGGCAGAATCTTACTGGAAACACATTCCATCTTGAGGCTGGTCTGTTCTGTCACTATGATTGTGAAAAACCAAGTGCATTTATACAAAATGTGAACGCCTTTGTGATAAATCACCCTGCACAATAGAACAGGCTTAGCAATTGATAATTTTAGGGGTGTGTGAATGTATATAGTGTACTTAAATGTATTCACTCCTGCCCAAGTCATAGTTAATATACCGTACAAAGTTAAAGATTTGGGGGGTTTTGGAAAGACAGTAATGCTTTTATTCAGAAAGGATGCATTAAATTGATTAAAAGTGACAGTAAAGACATTTATAATGTTACAAAATATTTCTATTTCAAGTAAATTCTGTTCTTTTAAACTTCCTCAAATAGTCCTTGAAAACAACCTATAATGGTTTCCACAAAAAGATTAAGTAACACAAAGAAATAGCTTATGGCTTGAATACAACCACCTTCTGATCACACTGCAAAAAAAAAAAAAAAAAACATTTATTTGAGAAGCATAATGACTAACAAGTCTTGTTTTCTCTGAATTGATCAAAATGAAGTGAGTTTATGATTAAAACAAGAACAAATGTCTGCCAATAGGCTTAGAAAAATTTACCTAATTCAAAGTGACAAGTTTTCATACACCATTGGCAGATATTGGTTCTTGTTTTAATCATAACCTAACTTCATTTTAATAATTGTTTCAGAAAACAGACAGGGACTTCTTATTGCCATTTTGCATCTTAATTAAATGCATCTTGATTTAAGGATGTTTAGATTTGGAAAACAAGACAATAATAAAGAGGAAGATAATATTTTTAAAGCACTGCATGCAACATGATTCTGATTTCTGCTCTCACATTTTCAAATCTTTAATTTGTGGAAGGGCGAATTAATTCTTTTTAAGACCCACAATAACCCTAACATATGATCTTGTGTGAAGACCATTAAGAATGGGAGAAATGTGCAAAATTGTCATGAAAGTGTCACTATGAAAGCTAAGCGCAGAGTAAAGTCCATGGCTTTATTAGGCAAATGTGGCCCAGGGAAAATTGGTTTGAATAACAAACTCTGTCCTGGCTCTGTGGGAAATGATATCACCACTTTGCATTATTTTAATGCTATGAAAACTCAAACACAGAGGGTGCGGTATGAGGAACAGGTGTACAACTCTCTTTCTCTCTCTGTAAACCGGTCATGCCTGCTCGCCGTGTTGGCTAGTAAACACAGACTCTGTGTGTATGTACTGTTAGTGATGGGTAGATGGGTGGACTGCAGTCTCACAGGTTTTAGTGCAGCATGTGTAGCATTTGACTCTGAGCCAAACACTACACATGCTGCACTAAAATCTGTGAGGTGAAGATGAGCGCCGCTGCTGTTCGCACACAGAAATGCAATTCACACAGTGTTTGCTGTTCTTCTGATAAAAAATAGTGGCCTGTTTGTGTTTTTTAGGTGAACAAATAAAATATTACCAAAAGTAGGGTAATTACGCCTCTAAATTGCCTAAAATATCTGGGTTTTGGCTTTGTTTTCCTGTTGATGGTCTCTCTACAGTCCTCATAAATTATGCCATGATTGGTCAATTATGTACAATGCCTGCATGCTATTGGTCAAACTACTTTTCAGTCATTGCCTTTAACAGGTATGAAAACAATAGGAAAACGAAGCCAAAACCTGGACATTTTAGGGAGTTTAGAAATCGGGAAAAAGAGGACATATAGTCACCCTACCAAAGAAAGGGATTTTATACAGAGCTTTTTATATACCCTCATGGTTTGTTATGTAAAACATTGACAGTTTTGCAAGTGTGTTGCAATGCTAGTGTTAAAGATCATTGTACCTCAGAGCTGTTGTGCAACTGTCTGTTTCAAAGAAAATCAGCTAATTTGGGATAAGTCTAAGATTAGTGCGTAAAAGTGAAATATTTACTCAGTTCTTCACTTGTGTTGAAACTGATTCAAATAAGGCATTCAAATACTCCATTTATAGACTGATGGCTTAATCAGATTGAAAAGCCTTCATGTTAACGCCTCAATTGATCCGATTGAGCTTGATCTGAAATAAATTTAGACCGGCGGACCTGAAACAATCAGATCAATAGGAAAACAATAAGCATGTAAACACTTGAATCTGACAATAGAATGCCTTGCATCCATATAAACAGAGCTTTCAGAAGCCAAAATCGCTTTGAATTTATTCCTATTGACAAAAATTGGTACATGTAAACATACAAATTGAAAACTTATTGCAAGCACCAGTCCAATTTTCTTCAGAAGATATAAAAACTCAATTATGTGATATCTCCTGATTTACAATCAGCCTAATCTCTCTCTCTCTCTCTCCTGTAGAAATGGTTCAGGATGCGAAATGCTCAGTGGAGGAAAGCAGAAGGTCTCCCTGCTGAACTGGGATCAGTGAAGGACTGATGGAAGATCCTTATGTTGTTCTTCTGTCTCTGCTCCCGTGATTGTTCAGTAGACTCATCTCACTGTCTCTCTTTACTTATTTGAGGATGTTTTCTGAAGTTTGAAGACTGATATGAGTCTTATTTTTAATTTGATCTAAGTTGTAATCTTTTGCTCAAAGCAAAGTGTATGTATGTCATATATTTTATTGCCATAACTATTAAATGTTCGTAAATAAACTAAATGTAAGCATCTGTATATCAGGGTTTGATTTCATGTGTTGAATGATTAGTATAGAGCTTTATCATTAGGAGGATCATCATGGAGCTGAGAAACATACACTTTATCTATATCTTTATTTATAAACCTAAAACAAAAAAAGGTATCTTTATCATCTCAATTGTTTGTGCTAGACACTGAGATTAAATTGAGAACAAATTGACATGTCTTCTGCTTCTCAGTTTTTCTCCTTCAAAAATAGACCACAGTAATCTCACATTTGTCTCTACTAGAAGTCCAAAAGAAATCTCAATAATGTCTCAATGTCTGCTCACATAATAAATATTAAAATCTGCATTCAAAAGTCAAAGATCTCGGTATATAAATGTTACATTTATTTAATTTAATCTTACTGTATACTGTATTCGTTTCTATACTTATTTCTTCATAGAAATGATTGGAGAACCATGTCGGAGTTAAGTTTCATAATCTATGGAAGAGCAACATCTGAGCAAAACAGTTTTCTGGGAGCTTGCTCGGAACGCAACTGAAATCCTGGACACCAACTAAAACACGTCAAGGGGAAAAAAAGAGGTTTTAAAATGAAATCCTGATGACAAGGATGGTGAAAGAGTTGACTAAACAACAGAGTCCACGTGAAAGGAGTGAGAAGCATCAGAGGGACTCAAACGCTGATGGCAGTTTCATCAAATATTTAAATCTTTAAACACATCCAGTAAGCAAAGGATGGACAGACGAGGCAACTTTTAAATGGTTGGCAGAGCGCAGCTGACTGCAGTGGTAAATGAGTGTGTGTGTGTGTGTGCAGTGGGGCGTGAAAAAACATCCCAAACCCTCAACGGAAAAACAAACATGTTCATTTGACTGCAGCGCAGATGCTGACACCAGCTATTTAAATGCGTTTTGGTCGATTGGATCACAAGTACACGATGGAGACACATTCCCCTTTACACCTGGTGTTTTAATCTTTGTCCACTTTCCACCACTTTCCAGATTTCTTTGAGGGGAAGGTCTATGTGCTGGCGTATATATATGGGCCTTTTCTGATTTTTCGATCTAATATTGTGAAATGGGTTCGCACAATATACTTATAAACGCAAAAGGAGACAACAGAAACCAGCATCTCTCATTACTGCTCTGATACCTGCAAAACTATGCCGAACACTGTGGGTTTGCGTTAGAATCAGGAATGGTAAGAGAACATTGTGCTTTTTAAATTTTTCTTCAAACCAAATTGACTGTTTACTGTTGAATTTAATGTTTAATAATTAAATCAGTAGGCAGAGAGAAGGCGATATGTGGTGGCTGTTCAAACTAGGGATGCACGATATATCGGCCACCATATCGGTATCGGGTGCATCCCTAGTTCAAACGCATTCGACCACATGAGCATCTACACTACGTAAACCATGCGGTTGAATGTGTTTTTTGACTACCTGTAGAACTGGTCAAAAAGTGGACAAGGTCAAAATGTTTTGGACCCCGTTTACACCTGTATTCAGCGTTGACCACTTGTGATCAGATCAGCACAAACGCTTCTTAATACCAGGTGTAAACAGGGCCTGAAATACTTGATTCTGGTTGGTCAATCTGTATAGTTTACTGTATACACTAGGGCTTTTCGCACTCAGTTGAACTAGTTAACCCTGGGTCATTCTAAAACCTGGATAAAACGAATCATGAGTTATCTTGGGGTTAACAGTCTTATCTGCATATTTGTGGTGTCAGTGTTATTGATTGGACGAACGCAGCATGTGACCTGTGTATTGCGCATTCTCATATTATAAATTGCCGACTGCTATTACGTTTTTCCTGAATGGACTTTTTGGACTATAAATGTAAGTCTCTTCTTTACTCCACATGACGCATTTTCCATCACCATTTGACATTTTTCCCCTCAAAAGCTGAAACCACTGTTTATACAATGCACGGCTTTCCCTGACTGTCCAAAGCACGTTAATAAGATGCACTTGTCGGGTGCTAAGCATCTAGCCGTAAAATTCTAACTCCGCATCGTTTCACACGGTACAGTTTGGTACCGTAATGAGGGGTTAATGCGGTGCTAATCCTGCTTTCGTAATCCTGGGTTAAAAGCGGTGCTAAACTCACCTCTAAATTATACTGTAAATGTGAAACGTTCCTTTACCCCGGGTTAAAAGTGGGGATTGGAATGTCGATTACCCGGGGTTAAACTCAGTGTGAAAAGCCCATCTGTCTCTTACTGTTCGGATTGGACTCTCTGGTCGTCCGGGGTTGTAGAAGTGTCTGTTCTCTCTTAGTTTGGGCAGTGAGAGCTGCTCGAGTCTGGACGTCATCTTGGCTGTTTGAGCTGCATATGAGATGAATGTCTGCACATTCTGCACACAACCACACAAAGCCAATGTGAATGGTGCTTGGATATGTAAAACTCATCGTCACTATGAATTAAGCACCAGAACCAGTTCTTGGTTTAAAAGCGATGTTGCTCCTGTAAGTTCGGACCTGTCTGTTGCTGGTGAAGTTGGGGTGGTTGGTTTTGGGGTCGGCCAGCTGGAGGATTCGAGGTGAGATGACCACGTTCCTTACACTGGGACTCACGTGCCAGATGGGACAGTCGTGCTCACACAAAAATGAGTGTGCATAACTACAGAAAGAAATTAATACTTTTATTCAGCAAGGATGCATTAAAATTGATCAAAAGAGAAAGTAAAGGCATTTACGGTGTTTCAAATAAAAATTGAATTCAAACAACATTGAAATAATAAAAGTTTCTTGAGCAGCAAATCAGCATATTAGAATGATTTCTGAAGAATCATGTGATTGAAGACTGGAGTAATTATGCTGAAAATTCAGCTTTGCATCACAGGAATAAATTACATTTTACAATATATTCAAATAGAAAACACTTATTTGAAACAGTAATAATATTTGACAATATTATTGTATTTTTTATCAAATAAATGCGGCCCTGGTGAGCATAAGAGACTTCTTTCAAAAACATTTTGAATGGTCTCCAGACAAATCTGTGATTTTTCGAAAGAAAGAAAAAAAATATATAATATATATATATATAAGATTATTTAGATTTAGTAGTTTTAATTCAAATTGAAATAAACAAAAACTAGAAATGTTGCCTTGGCAATTAGCTGAAATAAAATAAGTTTAAGTTTTATATTTTTATTTTATTATCAATTACTGAATTTCAATTAATGTTTATTTGAAGTAATGGAAATGTTTTTTAAGGTTTTAGTTAACGATAACTCTGCTGATAACTTTCCTTTCTAATATGGCATCTTATCTCTACCAAGACCTGCAAAAATCATCTGCTGCTTTTGGTTTGATAAGAATCAAAGCTTTCTTCTGGTTTGCAGCGCACATGTTCTCAAGATGTTATATAACAAAAATCCACAGGTTGCAAAAAAAAATTGTTCAGCTGAATTCAGAGATGAACATAATGGCCTGTGTGCAGATGATTTATTTACCACAGAATTCTCGCAAAATATAAGCAACATGAAGTCTTCACAAACAAAATTATATGACAGCAAAACTGACTCAATATGTTAGTCTACAAAACAGCTTGGAGAAGAAATTGGGCCCAGATCTGAGATTGTGATCTAAGATTTAAAAAGACCTCTGTGGTCAAACACAAGACTTGCCAGGGGTTACACACCAGACAGTCGTCTATTGTCTGACAGCATCTTCTCTCTCTCTCTCTCTCTCTCTCTCTCTCACACACACACAC